ACCCCGGCGCCCATTGGTGGGCCCCAGAGCCTGGTTGCTGGGAGAAAAATATGTTTTCCTCTGTCGGGAATGTAACCTCCCCATGTCCAGCTCGCAGGTCGTCGCTATACCGAGCGTTCCCGTCCACACACCAACTTGTTGCAGCGTCTGAATGGCAATAGACGCTAACGTCTGCTCTGGGGTGCGGAATGCATATGCGGCATGTATCTTGTGTCTCACATTGACATAGAACAAAGCCTAACAAAATGTTCCTTGAAGGGACGCGAAGCGGTATCGACCTGAAGTGATTGCCTCTCCATTTTCTGGCTCTTCTGTAACAACTAACACGTGACTTCACTTGTGCAGGGCATGTCTGTCCATTTGCCATCTGTGTGCCTGTCTTTCCCTCTGTTCCACATGTTTTCTTAGAACTCCGTATGGGAGCGTGTCACTGATTCTTCTTGGGCATATGGAGCCATGGGCTCACGTGCATGTGCGCTTTCCATAGAGAGAGACTGTTCGAACTGAGTGCGGGCTACTCCGCTCTCAGCCGTATTCATTCATAATAAAGCGTGGTTCACCACACAAGGCCGCGAATGAATTGTTCACATATCTGATGAACATTTTAACGTGGTTTATTGAAATTTGTGTTAGGATTTTCAGTTGTATTGGTAAGGTAAGGTGCACGCGGTAGCATAGTTAGTTGAGATACTATGCTACAAGCCAGAAGGTCAAGGGTTCAAGTCCTGATGAGGTCATTTGATTTTTTCAAGTGATCTAATCCTTCCAGCCGCACTATGGCCCTGGGGTCGACTCAGCCTCTAACAGAAATGAGTACCAGGAATATTCTTGGGGGTAAAGGCGGCCGGCGAGTAAGGCTGACAACCTTACCGCCATCTATGAGCCGATTGTCTAGAAAATGTGGGAACCTCAACATCTCACAACCCTGTGGGCCTCCACCTCCTGTTACAGGGATAGCTTTACTTACTTTACTTTTATTGGTAAGGTAAAGCTGTCCCTGTAACAGGCCGTGGAAGCCCATAGGGTTGTGAGATGTTGAGGTTCCCACATTTACTAGACAATCTGCTCATAGATGGCGGTGAGGTCAGCTTTACCCGTCGACTGGTCGCCCTTTACCCCCCAGGAAAATTCATGGTACTAATTTCTTTTAGAGGCTGTGTCGACCCCAGGGCAGGATGAATTGAAATTCCAGTGACCTCATCGAGAATCGAACCCGCGACTTTTCGGCTTATGGCATAGTGCATCAAACAACTACGCTACCGCATGTTACGACTTTGACTCGCACGGATGCGCGATGAAACGTAGGTCACGTGAGAACGTAGGTTCAGTGATTATGTCATAAACCGTTTTGCCGATATTGTCACATTGTTTAATGGCGAACTTTCACCAAACGTTGTCTTGTCGTGTTGGTTTCCTGCCATATTGATCTAAAATAACGCCAATTTTAGGCGGGCCGTAAGTGAAATATTCGCTGCATATGAGGAACCCGTTCACAGAAGTTGAGCACTGCAGTAGCGCGTATTCCCATTAGAAGTTTCGAGGACCGCGGCTGATAATTCTGTGTAAGACTGTACCTTAGTGGGGCAGATGCTTTCCAATATTGTTTACGCGGGCGAGACATGGCGGAGAACATTAGAAGGAACAGTTACGGAAGATGCTGGGAGGTGTACACTCATGGTAACAATTTTCATTCCTTTTCTCTCATGTTCCCTCTTTACATATTTTCAATTCGTGAATACAAATTTTTGGTTCTGTTTTATAAGTAACATGAAACTGAGGATTTCAGTGAGAGTAGCGATACATCGATTTTAAACTCTGTCATGGGCGCTGCGAAGGGTGGAGGGGCATACTGGGCGCCTGACACTCATATTTTTTTTTCCTAAGGAAAATTTGAATGAGGAAGGAAATATAAGAAATAATAATATTGATTAAAAGTATATCAAGAAGTTCCGGGAAGAGCTAATCGCCTGGTTTCCATTCATTGCAAATTCAGTATTGAGACATGTCTAACCGTTGCTGGGCAACGGGAGGTGGAACGAGTTACCACGAAGAGAGACTCTTGATAAATGGTCGGTTGCCGGGTTGCGGCACGGACGAGTAGAAAACACCGTGCGTTTGTTCGTTACCGCGGGAACGTGTTTACAGAGCCGTTATGTAGAAATGATTGGGCGGAGCACAGACACACAGCAAGATATTCCCACAAGCCTCCTTTTTTTCTTGCGGAATATGGAAACTGGGCTATACATTGCAGAAATGGGATTAACGGCTTAAATGCAATTTGTAAGCTATTGTCTGCCCCCCCCCACTGGGAAGATTTCATAATAGCGACCATGGAAGCGCCGTCTCGCTTCTTAACGCAACAAATATACCCGGACTGAAACCATGTGAATTTTAAATAAGTATGGTACTTCGGTTTAATTAACGGCCGTGGGGATCCGTTGCGCTGACCACGTGACACCCTCTATCCACAAAAGTTGGCACTAACTTCGCCGACAAGCGGCGGTCGCTCGGTCGGTATAGTTCGCTTGCGGACTACATGCCACGGAGTTAGTATGGTACTTCGGCAATCTTCGCGTGTATTCTGGAGCCAATTGTGGATTGCTGAGGAGCCAAGTTTGGAAATGTGCGGGTAGCATAACAGTTCTGGGTACGGTCGCTGATCTGTGTTTAATTGTCTGGAATGCCGGAAGACTTCACCCTTCTCTAAAACTTCTGTTCAAAATATTTTTTTTTCTTTTCTCTTCGGTAGCTGTTTACCGAGTTGACACTGGAGATGGCGCACAATCGCGCGTATCTTTTTATATGATGGACTGCCCATTGTTGTCCGATTTCAACCAAAACTGAAGTCAGTTGTCAGAAATTAGCCGAACTTCCCAGTACCAAATTTAATGAAAACCCGTTCTGCCATTCTTGCGTTGTTGCACGCGGACGGACAGACAGACTAGCGCGGGAATGCGACTAGCGTGTTTGAGGTTCTCACGGCGGCGAGTGGCTTATTCGACGTTTCGGAAAAGCTTTAGCCAACCTTCAGTACCGTTCTCGTTGGCTCAAGCGGTAACGTAGGAGACTTTTATTCTAGAGGTCCCGGGTTCAGATCTCCGTCGGAACACAAACTATCTTGACGTAGATTTCCCGTTATTTTCGTCTGTCCCTCCAAGTAGATTTCGGGAAATGTCTCGTGTCACTACCGCTTCCTTTCAGATCCTTTACAATTCACCATTCATCAGTCATTCTGCGTTTGAACGCAATTTAATGTATACTGACAGTGTAAACTAAACAACAAACTACATTGAGACAGGGGAGTCATCCAAAACGTTACCGATACACCAGACTACACGGTGTCAAACCAGGAAGATAGGAATAGTAGCAGGCACACTCTGAAAGTTTTTGTTTTGAATATGCCAAAAATCTTTTGGGATGTAACGCCGTGTAGTCCGGTAGAACAACAATGTTTCGGAAGGACGTACTGCGTCCATCTTCATGGCCTATGAGTAAGGAAATTAAGAAGTTGACAAGCTCCAACGTCAGCACTGTCAGTCGGCTTCTACCGGACTATACGGCGTCACATCCCAGAAGACAGCACTGTTCATAGTGACCGCTGTGGTCCACCATCGTTATTAACGTGTCTCTTGAACCGAGCGAAAGGTTTTACAGACTTTTGGAGAAGAGTGTTCTGACTGCTGCGAAACGAGCAAATAGTGGCCTCCATTTCTCACTTCCCCGAATGACGTCAGTTAATTCACAAGACTTGAGCACTTATTCTCCCCCAGAATCCACCGCTTCTACCCCTGCCGTGACGAGGCTATATTTTACCGACATAATGAAGCCTCAACCTCATGGGCTTCGAATAGCGGTTCCAGCGCCGTTCTCTTTCACGCGCCACTGTGTCATAAGCCCATTTCCCTTATTTTGAAAAGAATGCAAGTAGGTTTATGCGTTGTCCCTGCTGTCTGTGTGTTCCCCATTATCAACTTCTGAATGCCTGAACCAGTCTTTATGAAACTTTATATGTACATCATGGCACCTCTGGGCCAATCACAACGGCGTATTTTATAAATCCCTCCCGTCAGTCTCTATATCTGTCGTTGTTAGGTAATAAAGTAAAGAGGTAAAGGTATTCCCTTAACAGACCGTGGAGGCCCATAGGGTTGTGAGACGTCGAGGTTCCCACATTTTCTAGACAGTCGGCTCACAGATGGCCGTCAGGTATCAGCCTTACGCACCGGTCGCCCTTTATACCCCAGGAAGATTCCTCTGGTACTCACTTCTGTTGGAGTCTGAGTCGACCTCAGGGCCATACTGCGACAGGAGGATTAGGTAAATTGGAAAAATCCAGATCGGGATTCGATCCCGCGACCTTGCGGCTTGTAGCATAGTGCCTTAACCAACTATTATATTATATATAAACTTCAAATGGGTTTTTACCCGGTGGCAGTGATACTACAATAAGACACAACACACAAATAACACGGGGCACGCCGCAGCGTNCACCTGTGAACAGATTGTGTAGAAAATGTGGGAACCTCGACGTCTCACAACCCTATGGGCCTCCACGGTCTGTTAAGGGAATACCTTTACCTCTTTACTTTATTACCTAACAACGACAGATATAGAGACTGACGGGAGGGATTTATAAAATACGCCGTTNCTAGATCTTACACATACGGTAGGACTCCTTGGGCGAGTGATCATCTCGTCGCAAGGCCTCTACCTGTAGACAAACACAGAAAAACGCACACAAACATCCATGCCCTGAGTGGGATTCGAACCCACGATCCCGGCTTCCGAGCGAGCGAAGACAGTGCATGCCTTAGACCGCGCGGCCACTGTGACCGACAGCTTTACCTTTACCTTACACAAACAAAACACAGGACACACCACACAAAATGAACGCCTCCCTTGCATGGAAGGAACCGAAGGCTGTTTACCAGAGACCAGTGTTGAGGTGTCTCCCTTCACAATTCTGTGGAACCGGAATCTCATACGAGCGCTTGTTTCAGGGCGACATGTCTCCACCAGATGTCTCCGCAGTTCACGCGTCCAGGTGATGCACTTTCCCGTGAGCACACCCCCTGCGCTGTATGCGGGAGGGTGAAGACGGCATGGCGCTGGAGCTGGAACCTAGTGAGGAGGCTCAGGGTCTGCTGGCGCCCCCGACGAGCCTCCCTCTTATCCGCCCCAGTAAGTAGACATGTACCCCACTGTGGGTGTGGCCGGCAGGCCGTTTCAGAACAGAAAAGTTTTGTTCATTCTTGCGAGGCTGAGAAGGGGGGGGGGATTAATAGGAGGAGCTGGAGAGGCGCAACTTGGTTTGTGCTCTTCACCGTGGTTGCTCCTGTATTTGTGGGGGAGATATGTCAGATATTAATACCAAGGGATCTTGAACACATACAGTGGTGCCATCTGTGTTTCAGTAGAGACACTCGCAAATCCGGGGCGATCCGTATAAATTTTCTTACACTGCTTACATGTGAATATATCGGCCCATATTCTTTACCAGAAATTATTAGGGTGGTAAAATGAAGATGAGCTGGGCCAGGAATGTAGCACACACACATCCTGTAAATGAAAAATTAAATTCTTAGCCCTGAATCCTGAATTGAGAATAACACAGGGAAGGTTTAGTAGTAGATGGGAAATGCTATTAAAATAAATTTAAAGGAAATAAGATGTGATGGTATCAGTTGGATTCATCTGGCTCAGGATAGGGTTAACAGAAGGGCTCTTGTGGACACGGCAATGAACTTTGGGATTCCCGCTTTTTAGCTTGGGATTTCGCTGCCAGCTGAGCGACTGTTAGCTTCTCAAGTAGGACTCTGATTAATGCTATTATCTGGGTGATCGTAGAATAATAATTCAATATGATTAAATTTATATTACTTCGGTCTTCTTATGACTCGCCAGGGACACAACGTTAGGTAAGTTTTTCTGATTTTTTCCGGGACTTGAACCCAGTTTATACACAGCCCTTACTGACAAAGGTGTTCCGATGATCAGTTCACCTGTCGTGGAATAGAGACATTTGATTCAGTTTTATTAGTGAATCAATTTTAGCTTTCGAATTGCTTCTCCATTTGATCTGGTGTAGACCGCCTCGGTGGTCTAGAGGTCAGAGTTCATGGTTACAGACCAAGAGGTCCCGGGTTTGATTCCCGGCGCTACCAGTTTTTCTGAGAAGTATCGGGTCTGGAACGGGGTCCACTCAGCCTCGTGAGGATAATTGAGGAGCTACTTGAATGGAAAAGTAGTCTAGACTCCGGTCTAGAAAACCGAAATTAACGACCGTTGGGATTCGTTGCGCTGACCACGCGACACCCTCTATCCGTTATAGTTGGCACTAACTTCGCCGACAAGCGACGGTCGCTCGGTCGGTATGGTTCGCTTGCGGTCTAAGGCCACGGAGTTTGTTTTTGTTGTGTTTCTTCTGGTGTTCAGTGACAGTATATTTGCTTCGTTGTTTCGCCAACATATACACCAACATACCCCACCTCCTCGTTGGTTGTTCAGTGATTTCTTTCCTTTGTTATTTTTAACAGCTGACATGCGCAATTACAGTCCTTTCCATTGTCTTTACCTGTTTTAAACAATCTATAAAGTCGGGATTACCGGGGTTTTGGAATAGTTCTTTCTAAAGGACCCAACGGAGTAGATATTTCCTATCCCATCACCTGAGGACGGAAACAGATGCAGTCTCCGAAACATTGCTTTCTCTAGAATACAGGATGATGGACGAACTCCAAGAATCCTGTACTCCTGAGTGTCGTAGACTATGACATTCAGGAGTACAGGGTTCTCCATGACATAGAGCATCGTTAGAAACGTTAGGATCTACCAGTTTATCAAATGATTTCGTCTTTCTCTGTCCCCAGAAACGTCCAAGAAGCGAGGATCGTTAGAAACGTTTAGGATCTACCAGTTTATCAAATGTTTTCATTTTTCTCTGTCCTCAGAAACGTCCAAGAAGCGAGCATCGTTAGAAACGTATAGGATCTACCAGTTTATAAAATGTTTTCAACTTTCTCTGTCCTCAGAAACGTCCAAGAAGCGAGCATCGTTAGAAACGTATAGGATCTACCAGTTTATCAAATGTTTTCATTTTTCTCTGTCCTCAGAAACGTCCAAGAAGCGAGCATCGTTAGAAACGTATAGGATCTACCAGTTTATCAAATGATTTCATTTTCCTCTGTCCGCAGAAACGTCCAAGAAGCGGCTAACCAACTACATTACGTACTAATGACAGACTCGCATCTCTGCTGTCCGGTGTGCCTGTCAGCACCAGCGGGATGTCTGTTGAAAACTGAACGGTAAATTTCGCGTCTGCAGCTTTGCACAGATTGATAGAACCTTCTGGGGCACTTCAGTGGAACCAGCAGTTCCTCCAAACGTTGATAGCTGTATACCAACCTTGACGGTGTCGCACACCATACGACACCCTAATCGTAATATTTACCGACGCTCGAAAACCACAAATTCAATCTTCAGTAATTTCATATCAGATTCGTTGTGAGCGAAGTCGCGCGGGGGCAGAACATTTTTCTCAGAATCTCTGTGGTTTTCCCCTGCTAATCATCATTCCACCATTGCTGAATACTCATCCATGACCACCACCTGAGGTGTGCGATAACCCTGAACGCGCAACACATTATCCCAACCTCCGTGTTTAAGTTGAATCGTTCCTGACGCGGTACTTGTCTGGTTACGTACCCCCAATTTGACAAAATTTGACTTAAGCCCTTCTTACCGAACGCTCTGAACCCTGTGTCTGTGTCGACAAGTTACGCGACAGAGTAATTCAATTGTTTCAGGTCCCTCTAGCTCGAGCAGTAGACAACATCTGAGCGTCACCATATTGGAGCTGTCTTCGAATCCCGGGGCAGGGAACTATGGCTTAGAGAATGATCCAGACAAGCTCTCCTTCGTGTCTAATTTGTCCCCAGGGGGGCTGGAGCCCCCAATTGTCATGACACCGGGCGGCATCTCCCCAGAGCGAAGAGAGAGCAACAACAGCACACGTAGTAACCGGAGCTATGCCACCGGTGGAATGGGTCAGCAGCAGCAGAGCAGAAGCAGCGGGAGTGACGTCATATTGGCTGATAACAACAGCGACACGTTTGGTCCGGGAGGTGAGTTGCAGGACCGCAGTCCTTATTTCAAGACATCTGTGAGGGTACGTCACACCAAGGATCTGCGGTGTGGTGATTTTGGTGCCTATTGTAGGTTAAAAATAGAATCCAGTAACTTTCTGGTGATGACGTAACGAACTACGTCATTACGACTCGGCCACAAAGATCCTTTACACAGTTTAAGGCCGGAGGGATTGTGACGTGTGTAAAAATAGCCACGTGTAAAGCTGTCCCTGTCATGCCGCAAGATGTAAATCACCATCCGAGCTATTTCCTTGTATTTTGTACATGTTTCGGGCACACGGGACCATCTTCAGGGGGTGCATTCATATTGAACCGAAACATTCAACACTTCATACAATTTTTGTGTTTCTGGACATTATCTACCGACGTGTTTTTTGTTTACAACACAACGACGTTTCGGAGACTGGATTCCGACGTGTTTTTGTTTAAAACACAACGACGTTTCGGAGACTGGATTCCGGCTCCGTCTTCAGGTTGAACCTACTCGGTTGCGTCCAATCGATAGAGCTAGTCCCTATCTCCGGAAACAGAATCCAATCTCCTAAACGTTGTGTGTTTTAAACAAAAAGCGGACGACGGATAATGTCCATAAACAGAACATTTGCGTTAATATTACCAGCGTCACAAACTTGTTGTCCGTACAATATTTCAATGTCTGAAACATGTCGACTCGTCCTTGAAGAAAAGTCCTCCATTTAGTGTAAAGACATAGGCGCTGGGTCTCATGCGTGTGGAGTGTTCTTAACTCTGGCAGATGGTTTACAGTATAGCCTATCTTATGTTGGTGCTGGTGTCCGAGTGGGCCACCCTGTTCCTGGGGGATATGAATACGGGGACCTGGCCCTCCAGGTTGGGGAGTCTCGAATCTGAAACAGTAAAATATGGCCACGAGTCCCGCGGGAGTCCGACCTCAGAATGGCTGCGCTGGCTAGGACCAGGAGCAATTGTAAACTACAGACCCATCCTCTCGTTAAAGAGGATGTTACATGAACATGAAACCAAGTGTTCAGTTGCAAAAGTAAATTCTCTGGTCCTGAGTCTCGAGGGGCTTGTCGCCACGACGAACTGATTGGCGGTAAACCGCCAGTGGAAAAGTAACTCTAACTCTAGTGGGATTTGTGGTGGACAAAGTGGCGCTGGGGTAGGTTTTCTCCGAGTACTTCGATTTACCCTGCCAATCTTCATTCCACCAAATTCTCCATCATAATCACCCGTGCAGGTACAAAGGTCAATCAGTGGCCGCCGTGCCGAGTGGATCCAACTGGACTCCACCCCCCACTATGCGAAAAAAACTCTTAACTCTTAATTCTAACTCTAAGAGCGAGGGCACACCAAAGAAACTGGCAACCGCAACGCAACTGCAATCAGCCTGGGTTGAACACACGTTACTGAATGGAGTAGCCCAAATTGAGGAAACTGAGTTGCCGTTTCATCAGTTTCCTGTGAGGTCCGAACTGAAATGTTATATATTATTTAGATGAAATTCAGTACTTAAAAGGATAAAGCGTTTAAAAGAGAGAGCGTGTTCATTTTAAAACCGAAGAAAGCTGTTCTTTGTACACAGAGTTAAAAAGGGATAGGGCTATAAAATCTTTGCTGAGAGCGGTGGGGGGGGGAGTATTTACGACGTTTGAAAACTACTACCCTTATAGTATTGAAGACAGAATAATAGTTATGTAAATTAATATTTTATGTATTTTTATATATTTCCTTAATTTTTTCTTAAATCCATGGAGGCGCATATGTTTGGCGGCTTGTGTCTCCTTACCGGCGGCCGTGTTACCGCTGAAGGAACATTACGTGGATTTTGCCTTATCCCCCTCCCCCAATTTCCGGTAAGGGGCATATGATGCTGACTGCCACACAAGCGGAGTGGTTTATTTGGCTTAACTTTCTTTTATGCCTCTGCTCGCTGCTTTGAAGCTAATGTAAACAGTGCTGAATGGTAGCATGTTGATGTATGGCGGGCTGCCGAGAATAGGAGCAAGGAATGAGGGTCATTCAGTTTGCGTTCACGTCGTGTCATTTGTCCGAAGACATAATACGGACGTCCGGTTTAGAAATTTTATTCTCGACTCCCCTGAAGAATAAACATTCGATTCGATTACTCGTACATACAAAATATTCGGTTAACCCACTGAAGCAATAACTTAATTAAAAAGAATTAAAATTCCGTTTCTGCTTTACCAAAAAATGTTGGTCTAGCGGCAACGCTGTATACTTGCATTCGGGAGGTGCTCAATTCAAATTTCTGCGGGACACCTGCTATCCCAGCCGAGGTTCATCGTGGTTTTCCCAAATCCCTGCGGGTAAATACCGGGATAGTACATCCAATAGGCCACGGTCGCTTCCTTTCCTTTTAAATCATTTCGAATTCATAAGTCATCCCACCACTCGACTGTATTCAGACACTGACAGCCTCGAAGAGAAGGCAGCAGGAATTGTCTGCAGTCCCGCTGCAGCTGTCAGTACATCTGTCATGAGACATCAGCTTCTCCTGGCACATATGCTGGTCAGAAATTATGAATAATATTATTTAGTTAATTTGTATAATTATTGCAACTTCTCTCACATGCTTATTGGCTCAAATGTATATAAATTCTTTTATTTTAATTTGGCTCCTTTATTTTACATTTCTTCTCTTTGACGCTTCCCCACCCACCACCCCTATCTTCATTGTTTTTATATCCTCGTGCCTTGTCTTGTCTATTTGGATGCTTAAAATAGTTCCTCCATATTTCGTTTTCAAAAGTTATATTCCGTATTCTGAACTCAGTATTGGCAAGCATTTACCGAAATCAGTTGTTTTTTTATAGGGCCTTCGCAAATTTTACCTTCATTTTTTCGTTCTTTTGAAACGTCTGTTAGGATCTACCAGACTACAAGATGCAAAATCTAAAAAGACAACAAGCCTTTAAATTGTTACTATTTATGCTTTGTGAGCATTATTTGATGACGTCAGTGTGTACACTGTTTGGCGTCGAATTGTAGGATGGTTAATGAGTGATGAATTGAGTTGTCTGAATTGAGGTACCCTACCAGAATTTGTCAGGATGGACCAAGAGAAACACGAAGAATCTCGCATGGAGAGGCCCTCGTTTCGAGCGGGATTCGAACTGCGTACGTCCCGGATATGAGCCTAGAGCGTTACCGGTAAGCCCACTACGTCACATCCCAGATGACGGTAACCTTTCGAAAGGGGCTTATCAACGTAATTACAAAACGGTGACGGCCCTGAAATTGTTCTTATCTAGTTCAAGCTGGCTGCTGCTCGTGTAATAACTTGGAATGTCGTTATTTTGGACGTCACGCCATCTATGAAATATTCCGCTGTACTATTATTGTCTGTAGTTTTTTAATTGCCCACGTGATGACGCGCCAGTCGGTGTGCTACAAACCAAGGCATCTTCGATCGAGCTACCGAGACAGCACCTCTGTACATGCTTTCGAGTTATATTACAGATGGCAGCCACGTAAAGTGGGCCAAGGTTATTCATTCGCTGGCCGGCATTTAATATTCATATATATTGAACGAATTACGTCACTTATATACCACAGCATGACTCCAACTTTTTAGTTTGGTTATGGTTGTTATTTATACATTTAAAGGCTTATCGTGTCTTCATTTATATGGATTTAAGATGAGTTTGTTCAATGTGTTGTATTAAAATTGTTTATGAATTGTCGACTCGTCACACAACACTTCCCGACATTGGATTTGTGCTTCGCTCGTCATGACCTACTCCGATGTTTATATTAAGTGAATCGATTGAAACGTTATTTAACATGTAGGACAGGTGTTAATGGCTGGATATAAAGTTGCATCAGGGGTGCAGCGAATTGTAATTCACAAAACAGCCTCTCTTGTACCCAACTGCGTAATTACACCAACACGACATTCTCATTGCCCAGTCTCGAAGCAGTTGTTATGGTTTTGATTTCGAGTCTTATTTAAAAAAAGAGCCAAATTTGTTTATATGTCGGTTCCACTTCTGACACCAGTTGCCTCGCGTATTAGTGACTATAGACGGATCTGCATTGGTGAATAGATTTATTGGCCATTCACAGGTCGTAACTAGAAATAAGTATTACACTATTGCTGATTTCCACACTAAAAGTCACTCAACAGTAAGTTTTCTCAGTCTGTCTGCACTAGTCGTTGCTTGGTAGCAGCTCTGAACAATGGCTATTCCTCTGCAATGTCGTCACTAGACGCTTCCTGGTAACGAATCTTAGCAATGGAGATTCTTCCGCTTCTGCTATCCACTGGTTTACACTCCACAGCTGAACATTCAACTCAAATGTCAATTCAAGTCAAAGTCACATTGCGACTGTCGGTCGGTCGGTCGGTCGGTCGGTCTTGATGTCGAGCCCCATTTGGGGGCAGTGACATTTTAATAGGCATGTGGACCCGAATGGTACCTTGTTAGCCAACGCCCTAAACGGAACGGGATTCGAACAACAGACCGCTAGCCGAGCTCAATCAAAAAAATATACGTACCTCGCCCACAAAAAATGATTTTGATTAAATGTTTGCCAATTTATAGTACTGATAATTCCAAATAGAATTACTGGACATATTTCCCCGCCATCCCCCAAATAACTTTTTCTGAATTCCTATTTAAGGACAGGAGGAAGCTGAGATCTGTCACTTGTGCATACACAACAAAATGTGCAGTGTATTTTGCACCGATATTTTTGTTCAAGCAGACAAAAGATCCAGTGATGAGTGTGTGTCTTGCTATTTCTGCCTGAATGTTGCCTCAGCTGGTCGCATAGGTACACCTGTCGTATCAACTAACTACTGGTTTATGCTTGTTACGATTTGTGACGACACTTGAATGGCTTCGTCCTCGTACATTTTTATTGCCTTACTTTGTGAAACAGAAGTCTCGAAACTTCTGAAGGGTTTAGAGTTCTTGGCCCAACGCGTATTGTCTTGAGCAGGTTAACGAGACGCCGGCGTTAAGGCGTCTCCTCACAGCCACTCGAAATGAAGAGGTGCTTCAGATGTTGCCACGCTGAGCCAGTGAGAAGTGGCTGTGTTGTTACTCTACTGATTGGCAGTTATTCAAGTGACACTCGACGTCAATCCTATGACTGTTTGATCTGTTCGAAAATTCTAACGAGATGGGCTTGTGCAATCACGAAGCTGCAAGTTTATATTCGGAAGACAGGGATTCGAATCTCTCTAAGCTATAAATCCAACTAAAGCTTACGAGCGATTACCGGTATAGTGCTTGGGAATATACCACGATTTACCCTTCTGCCCTTTCATGATAGCCTTCCAATATGTTTTGATGCCACATAATATCTAGAATCGAAATAGCATTATTAATTAATATATATATAAGATAAACACCGTCTTAAGTGTAACAATTTTATTGTAGTTCTTTCTTCTTTCCCCTCACTCCACACTACATGTTTCGGCCCGAAATGGCCATCATCAGGTGTGTATTCTTACGTAGCTGTTACACTGCCTGTTAAAATTTAAAATCACCAGTCTTTCTAATTGTATAAACTGTTTGTTAACCTACACGCGTTAATTTTGATTTTTATTTAGCACTTTTAAAAATTTAATTCAAGTTAAAGTATCTATGAAATTTCTGTTCTTTTCCTTTTTCAAATTTTAAAATTAAAATTTTTCTCAGGGTACATGCCCTATGTCTAAGTGCTGCAACGGCGCAGTGTTTCCTGTGAGGTACGAACTGAATCCACTCAACAATACAGATGTAGCTCAGCTTTTTAAGCCATTTGTTTCTTCCTTTTCGATTTGAGTGCTCAGTCTTCCAATTCCAATACACCTGTTGAGTCTAGTTTTTTTTTGGGGGGGGGTGCGTATTTGTAAGGGTAAGAGCAAGGGACGAGCCCAAACATTTCCGAAGGAACTCCAGACGTTTGGTTATGTTCATTAGGTTTAATTCTCCGCGTATTTGAGATGTGGGATCATTGAATTGGATCGTAAGGAAACAGAACGTGAGGATGCGGAATGGATTAATCTGGCCTAGAACAAGGACCGGTACCTCTTGTGGGCACGGTAATGAACGTTTGGGTTCTGTAAAAGCGAGACATTTCTTGATTATGTGAGTCACTGTTAGCTTTCAAGAAGAACTCTACCTCATAGCCTAAGTTAGGCTGATAGGCAGTTATTTCGTTACTTGCTTAGCTAGATTAGTATTTACGTATTCAGATATTTGATTAGGCGCTCAGTTACTTAGTGAGGAGCCGGTATAGCGACTGACTACGGGCCGGGCGACCGAGGCATCGGAGTTCGAGTCCCGGAAGGGTGAGGAATTTTCTCTTCTCCACGTCGTCCGGACCGACTCTGGGGTCCTCCCAACCTCCGGGGGGGGCTCTTTCCCCGGAGATAAAGCTGCCGGAGCGTGAAGCTGACCACTCACCTCCAACTAGTGCCGAGGTCAAGAAAATGTGGGTCTATACATCCTCTCCCCCATACGTCTTCATGGCGTAGTGTTTAATTAGTTATGCACAGGAGCAACTTAGTGGGTTTGTACGTAATTTTGTTTGGTTAGTTAACTGATTAGTTGGTTAGTCGGTAAGTTAATTAGGCAGTTTGTTTGTTTGTTGTTCCGATTTGAAATTTTTTCCTTTGCGACAAAGCAACAACGTACAACTGAGCGCCCGGAAAAAGTGTTTGTGTTCAAGGACAGGGTGAGTGAACGGCTGTGACCATTACATAACAGAGGGTTCGCCGATAGACCCGCAGAATGCGTGTGGTCGATTACTGTTTACAGCATTAATGTCATGGAGGTTGCGATGGGCTGGACACCTCGCATAGAAAAGTAGGGACGTAAAGCGGAGAGCAGACAGGTGGACCGCGAATGTCCAGAGATGTGACGCCGTGTAGTCTGATAAATACTTACAAGCTTTGTTTTCTCCATTTCTAACAAACACATTGAGGCATTTTTTTTAAAAGCTAGTGCTTATTAAACTACTAAAAAATTGTAAGATTTGAGGCTTTCACGGCGGTGACTACGAAGAATGCCGTCTTCTGGGATGTGACGCAATGTAGATATTTTGTTAACCGACGTTTCGGAGAACCATATCGCCTCCATCTTCAGGATATAAGAAATCCACGAGCGATGAACTAGCGTGAGCAGGTGTCTGTAGACTGACAGTCTGCACTGGTTCATCGGGACTCGAACACGCTTGTGACAGTGCCCAACCAATGCGCTGCCGCGTCATGGCATCACATAGCAACACAAATGCTCTTCGTCTTTCTAATATCTGAATGAGACTCGAAACACGCAGTTGGAGACAGTGCCTGCCTTCCTGCAAAACATAGGTGAACTACCCGACTACACGGCGTCACATGCCGTAAGATGTTACTACTGGTAATGTAGGCATTAACTGTCAGTTTTGTTTTGATACCTGTTTCAGCGATGTGTTGATTTCCTGATAATTTTATACTCCTTGGATATTCCTTCGTACTTTGCAAACTCGAATGAGCTGGCATATCGATCAGCCCACTTTCTACTTTCTTTACGTTTCTGGCTTCATTCGCGCCGGCAGTAATCATCATAACGGTAGTCGCGAGTCAGTTCTTGCGCCGTCAGCCACTCATGTCCAAGAAAGTCGCCTACTCCACCGAGGAACTGGTCCAAGCGGCCACGTGGGCGGTTTCTTACGAGAGCGATAGCGAGTACGCCTGCCGTTTCAGAAGGGAGTACAAGAAGGCGCCACCTGACCAGAAGACCATAACAGCATGGAAGAAAGACCTCCTCAAAACAGGTACTGCAGTGTGCCGTGTTGTAGAGCGTTACGTCATAATTAGAAAGTCACTAGATTGTTTCAACACACAAGAACCAAAATCCCCCATATCGGAGATCTCGTTCAACATAGGGACTGTTCTTCCGTAAGGTTACCTACAGAAATTGTGGCGTACCTTTGCACGCGGTAGCGTAGTTGGTTGAGGCACTCTGCTACAAGCCGGAAGGTCGCGTGTTCGAGTCCCTATGAGATGGATTTTTTTTTTTAATTTATCTAATCCTTCCAGCCGCACTATGGCCCTGGTATTCGGCTCAGCCTCTAACAGAAATGAGTACTAGGAATCTTCCTTGGGGGGGTAAAGTGCGGCCTGTGCCTAAGGCTGACAACCTCAACACCATCTGTGAGGCGAATGTTTAGAAAATGTGGGAACCTCGACGTCCCACCTCCCTATGGGCCTCCACGGACTGTTACAGGGAGAGCTTTACGTTTTACGCTTGCAGATATTTTAGACAGACTTAAATCGCTTTTTGTTTGTATATCGATAATCTAGTATCGTTCTGATAAGTGAAATCTACCCGTCTGCCAACGAAGAGAAGACGAGGCGATTACCAAAGTCCGTCCTTATGTACTGTGCAAGCTGAAAACATCGGTAAAATTTTCGGACTTCATGATATGTCTCTAAATGAACAGTAGAATGCTCACGGGCCGCCTGTTGTACCCACAGCTTGCCTCGCCTTCTCGTCGTTAAAGGATTGCGTTCTCCTGTATCCTGTATAGCCAGCCAGTTTCCACGTAATTGTATATTATGTGGTGTCTTCACCATATATTAGGGATGCCCAAACTCGGGACCCTGAGGGGCCACATATTTTCCCACTATACCAATACACCGAACAGTGCTCTTCACTTTCCATCCGGGAGCTGCTCGGTTCAAATATCGGTCGGTACGTTAGGTATCCGAACGGAAGTTTTTAGGGGTTTTCCTCCGTCTCTCCAGGCAAATCTTATGATAGTACCTGGATAAGGCCACGGCCGCTTCCTTTCAAATCGTCTCTAATTTATCATTCGTCTGTCATTCCACCATCGAACATTGTACAGTTTCGGTATTGAAAGCGTCCTTAGTTAACGAGAGAATATACAGAATGTTCCAAGTTGAAAGGCCGATTTTCTGGGAGGTCATAGGATCGGTCATTCTAAGCAAGAAAGTGTATATGTACATGTGTCCTATTCCGAACGGTTTCCGAAATATAACTATTTCACTGTACAGTCCACTGTACAGACGAGCAGCACGCCATGTCCTCACACGAGTTGCACCGAGATAGAGCTATTTTACTGTGCAGTACACTGTACACTGTACAGACGAGCAACACGCCATGTTCTCACACGAGTTGCACCGAGATAGAGCTATTTCACTGTACAGTGTACAGACGAGCAACACGCCATGCCCTCACACGAGTTTCACCGAGATAGAGCTATTTCACTGCGCAGTACACTGTACAGACGAGCAACACGCCATGTCCTCACACGAGTTGCACCGAGATAGAGCTATTTCACTGTGCAGTACACTGTACACTGTACAGACGAGCAACACGCCATGTCCTCACACGAGTTTCACCGAGATAGAGCTATCAGCTCACAATCAATGACTGTGTACAACTCGCTCCATTCCGTACTGGATTACGACTGTCTTCTCTTCCACTGGGACTCACTTGGTTCTGATTTAAGAGCCGGTCACTTCTTCAGCTTCCGTTAGCCGCTGGTTAACACTGCGCAGCTGAACACTGAACTCTCTTACGACTGACTGTTTCCTTATATAGACTCTCGGTAACCATGGAAGATGTCTGTTGTCACGGAAACATGCTTACCTAACCGTTTCCTATCAGTGGACTTCGGCATCTCTACGTTGCTGTGGGAACGTGTGTTTGGCTAGCCGTTGGCTGGAAATGGACTTCCGCTCTGGCTCTACTATTCCGGCTTTCAGACGTCATGTCACAGTTACCTCTAGTTTGAGGTTAGTAATAGTGGAGCTATATTTCCATTTCCCCATACGTCTTCATGACGTGGTGCTTAATTAAGCCCAGGTTCATCGCAGAAGGCACCGATTTTAATACATTTGTTTTGTGTACACAGGTTTGGACCCGCGGTCCTTGCTCCAGGAGAGGGGCAACTGGGAAACTCGTTACCTCATGAAGGAGCATCGCCGTGCGGGCAAGGCGACATTCCAGGGACAAGTGTACAACTTCCTGGAGCGTCCGACAGGCTGGAAATGTTTTATGTATCACATCTCTGTGTAAGTACAGCTGTATCACGTGATTGTACTGAATCTTTGTGTTTCACTCATCCTCCAGTAATGTAACGGTGAGGTGACAGCTCTGAAATTAACTCATTTTTGAGTTACCATAGTAACGAATCGTCCAGCGTAAACACTTTACGTGAATGTAAGTTGTGCTGTAGACAACGAACGTGCGAGCAGTCTTTTGTTCCATTATATCGTGTCTGCTCTCTGCTGATAAGGTTTTCATGTAGATATGTAAAGTGTAGCATAAAGAGACTTTTTCGGATTGAATATTTGTGCATGTTATTAGTGGGAGAAGGCGCCAAACGTCGGTGTCGACGTATCATTCGATAACTTGTAGAACTGGAACGGAATACCGGAGAAAACGGGGGAAGTTAATAGTGCGAAAGCTCGTGTAACCAATGCTGAGTCTTCCTACTCAATTATCAAAAGACGTTTAGGCGAGCCTTCTGCAAAGCTGTAACCGAAACTTCTTTTTTGCTGGGTAGAAAAGGTTTTGAGACACAGGCCAATGAAACGAATAAATTAAAAATTAAGTATGGCGGACTGTAAGGAAGGTCCGATCGAGTTGGCCCCGCCGCAGCTCAAGCTGTTAGTCGCTGGCTTCCCACCGCGGCAGCTCGGCTTCGAGCCCGGGTCTGGTCAAGTTGGATTTGTGGTAGACAAAGTGGCGCTGGGGTAGGTTTTCTCGAGTACTTCGGTTTCCCCTGCCAATCTTCACTCCACCAAAACATTGCCTTAACAAAGTCTCATCATTCCAGAGATAGAGGACCTCACATCTAGTGATGCAAGTTAATTGCCTCTTCATAAGTTCGCTCATCCGCCATATTGTTATTAGTGATTGTGTGGAATTAAAAAATACACACCTAGCTGCTTGGCATAATGTTAACACTCTTAGACTCGTGTTCGGTAGGTGCTTGGTTCGAACCTCGACCAGAGCGCCAATTGTCGTGACCGAGGTTTCCCCCTACACCTTCAAGAAAATGCTTTGATATACCTCGATTACGCCAAGACTGTTTCCTTCCAAATCCTTGTCAGTTCATCATGTACCTGTCATTCTACCATTCTGCATTCTGTAGTCTAGATACTGAAAGCGTGGCAAATTAACACGCACAATTATGGCTTTGCGGTGGACAGTAATGACATAACTCTCATACCAAATTTCGTCAAAATCGGCCAACTTGTTTGAAAGTTGAAGAATAAAGACGTACAGACATATACAAGGACAGCATGGCGATGTAAAGAAAGTATATTTTTGTTTCTTTAAGAAATGAAAATTGCCTGGAAGCAATTTTGGAAATAGGGAAGGGATACGTTTGTGTTGACAGTTGTAATGAATATGGCTGGTCCATGAAACCCTGCTGGGTACTTGTGACAGCAGCGCCATTGTTCCGTTTCTCCTGCTTCTGTGTACGCATTGGCCTTTCTGTTTTCCTCGCTTCTCGACTCACGGAACAAAACAATTTTCCCGAGGGACTCAACTGTCAGATACATTTTTACATTTCGTCTACAATTGCCCTTCTTTCTGACATCCCGTTCTGTCAATAGAAATGGCAGATGTTTGTTACAGCGTGCAAGAATGCATCATAGTCACAGATCACTGCTTGCCAGAGTAACTACGTTTCGGAGGGACATTTTGCCTCCATTTCCAGGGTAGAACTGTAAGCCGTGAGTGGAAAGAATGTTAGGGAGGGAGGAGACCTGCAGATCTCGCTGTATATCCGTACTTTTCCACTCTCTATTTACTCTCTTACCCTGAAGGTGGAGGCAGCAGATTTCGCCGAAGCATTCGTAGTGATCTAATGTACTGTTCGGCGTCACATTATAGAAGACAGTGATCCGCGATGTTGAGACACTGAAGAACGCTCATTATGATTAGTATAATATTAAAATGTGCGTCACTGTGAAAGCAAATTTCTTGGAATAGAACGTCCTTGCTATTGCTGTGCTGGAACTGCGGTTTTGTGGAAAAATTGTCTCTGGGATGCGAGAAGCATACAAAAAGATGCGCGGATCCAGAAACCCAGTAATTCTAAATGCTATCCAAGATGCGTTCTGAAAGGAAGAGACCGCTATGCTCCGTCTGCTGTGTGAGCGATGATACGTCATCATCAGTTTGTGACGTAGACCGTTACATCATCAGTATAAAGTTACGACTTCCGGTTTCAGAGTACTTCCGGTATTCATACGCCGTTGGGATTTTCCGAAAGAACTTAACAAAAGAAGTTGTCCCTGTGCTTAACTAATTAAGCACTATGCCATGAAGACATAAGGTCGGTGTGGAGGTATAGCTCCATCATTCTTGACCTCGGCACTGATTGAGATGAGTGGTCAGCTTCACGCCCTGACCGCTTTACCCATGGTACCCATTGGGTGGACCCCAGAGCCGGTCTCGATCGGCCAGCCCGTAGCTAGTCACTATAGTGACAGAGCTATCCGATTTACACGTGACTTGTCCATAAAGTTGCCCCAATTCATAGAGTCGACTGACCTTAGGAAGACGTAGGCATAAATTGGATGGAGGGGATGATGTGAATTGGGCTCCTCTGGCTCGGGATATGGACCAGTGACTGTCTCTTTCGAACATGGCGCTGAACCTTTCGATCCCGTGAAATGTTGGCAATTTCTTGAGTAACTAAGGCACTGGTTACAGCAGGAATATAGATTGACATATGTCTGTTTAGCCTCCAGTGAACTCCGACGCCTGCAATGAACACCTGACAAAGGAACGGCCTGCGCCCCACCCCNTCAGCCATTTGCAATAATAACATGGCAACACTGGGAATGAATCCAGCCAGCTTTCTCGTCCGCCCCACCCCGCCGCAATTTTTCTTCCAATTTTCGGGAATGCAGGTGATAGCTGTTGAAGCTAAATCGAATTTTGCTCATATCTCCGGTTCTCAGTGCTGTACCCTGCTTCCCCGTTCTGTCTGCTAAACCTCCTAAAATAGAAGCCGCCAAAATCGAGTAAATATTTCAGTGGCACCGGGGGTTGGAAACAGACGGGATGCTGACCCAGCTGCCGTTTCCATCTTGTGTTCTGGATTAGAAGAGGAGGAATCATTATTTAATTGAATCGTGACGACAGAGAAAATTGGGACGGCGGACATACCCATCTTCCTGGTTGGAATGTCGGTGTAGTTCATTGATGTTAACGAGGGTCTGAGCAGTGCTCACTTGTCTGGGTATTCAGGCAAGGAATCTGTTAGGCAAGTTATGCAAAGTATTGTAAGAAAGGTAAAGCTATCCCTGCAACAGGCCGTGGAGGCCCATAGGGTTGTGAGACGTAGAGGCGCCCACATTTTCTATACAATCGGTTCACAGATGGCGGTGAGGTCGCCGCCCCCCCTTTACAGCCAGGATGGACATTTTGTCTGAGGACAGCAAAAAAGAATACCCAAAGTCAGTTACAGGACTCTTAAAGCCAGAAGAAGAAAAAAGGTCTGTGGAAGGCGTCTGTTGTTTTTTTTTTAATTCGCTTAGTGGGGGGTGGAGCCCAACTGGGTCCACTCAGCACGGCGGCCACTGATTGGCCTGTTGTAGCCTGCCCCGGGTGATTATGATGATGGGGAATTTGATGGAATGAAGATTGGCAGGGAAAACCCAAGTACTCGGAGAAAACCTGCCACAGCTCCACTTTGTCCACCACAAATCCCACTTGATCAGACCCGGGATCGAACCCTGGCCACCGCGGTGGGAAGCCAGCAACTAACCGCTTGAGCTATGGCGCGGCCTTAGTTGCATTGTTATAAAACTTGATGTTTGCATGGTTGTAAATGTTGAGATTGCTAGCTATTGGGTTGCGAGTCCGCGTAACGTGGTAGACGTTTCGGGCGAACATGTTTCTTCCATTTTCAGGATGTAATTCTGTATGGTGAGGATGATCCCGGACTGTCCTCAAGTTCCTCATCCCCTCATACCCGCCTACATAACACAATCTGCATATTGCAACCCTGATGATTGTGTGAGCATGTTTCTCCGAAACGTCGGTATCCACGTACACCACCATACAGTGTCACTATCCAGACTGCGTCAACCGGATATAGTCAGTTTCAGTTAGGTGGTTAGGTATAGTCTGTCTAATACATCTTTGAGATTACGTCATGCCTTGAGTAGGGGAAAGTCCTGTGTGTTCAAAGAGTTCTCTTGTCTGGCGAGTTTGGTTCCCATGGAATGTTGGAAATAGAATCCAGTAAATTTATACTGATGACGTCACTATCTGATGGGACAGCCACAGAGATATTTCAGACACAGTATAGTTTGTTATAAAACCTCATTAAACGTCGTCTTTCCAACTAAACTCCGCGCCATTTCCTTTGTTTTGTCCATAAACATGCGCGCCGACTCTGATTATACGAGGGACTGGATGTTTAATGTCTCTGATAAGAGATGGCATTGTAGTAAAACCGGATGCGCTGGCCTCGTTTTAGAAACGATAAACAGGACCGGATGTACACTGTGCAGTGTTTTGTTTCGACGCTGATGAAGCCAAACACCGTTCCTACCAGCGGAACCGCGGGGCTGCTCAAAATGGAGCGCTAATTACATTGTGTGTGCTTTGTTTAAAATCATAACAGAATCTATGAATTTTCGTAATTAAGTCTTCATGAAACGTGACTTTTGTTCCTAACCTAACAATTTGTGTACATTTAATATGAAATGCGAGTTCTCTGAACATGACAGTGGACCATCTGCTTAACAATAATCGCCGAATTGAGTTGCAGTTGGCCTACATATGTATGTATGTATGTAAGGAATAATGCTTGCTACCACTCAGTCCAGAACCTTTTGTCTTCTCGTCTGCTGTCTAAAAACGAAACAATTAAAATACACAAAATTATAATCTTGCTTGTTGTGTATAGGTGTGAAACTTGGTCTCTGACATTAAGGGAGGAACACAGGAGCCTGGATAGCGTAGTCGGTATAGCGACTGGTTACGAGCTGGACGACCGAGGGGTCGGAGTTCGAGTCCCGGCAAGGTCAAGAATTTTCTC